GTCACAGTAAAAGTACATTGTTGATTGCCAAAAAAATAAGACTAAGTCCATGTATCAGTAAAATTATGGGAATTTTTTTTATATACATCATATTTTTTTCTTCTGATGCTGTTTCTTTTTCTTGAAAAAAAATTTGGTCCAAGTTTCATAACATTCCAATATTGTATTGCTTTTTTATAGAAAATTTCATGTACAGTTTTCATCAGCCATGAGTTATGTTATTTTATTAAATCCACAAATATAAAAGTTTTAGCGATTAACGAACAATTTTCAGCAAAATCAGATCGCCCGTTATTCATTGTTTTCTTTTACCGAATTTTCTGAAAAAGGATTGAATCCTTGTACAAAGTCAAAGTCAATCCCATTTTTCAAAGGAATTTTATTGTAGAAATTATGCAATCAACTACTAGAACATTGCTTACAAAATAGAAATGTTAAGAATAACTGACATGGAAATGGGGAATGTGTTTAAAAGACAACAACCTACCAAAGAGCAGAAAACAGCAGAAGGCCACCAATGGGTTTTCAACACAGCGAGAAAAATCCCGCACCCTGAGGTGGGCTTCAGATAGCCCTTAAACAAAAATGTGTACTAGTTCAATGAAAATGGATGTCATACTAAAATCCAAAACATATAAATGAACTAAAATTAAAAATCATACAAGACTAACAAAGTCCAGAGGCTCCTGACTTGGGACAGGTGCAAAAATGCAGAGGGGTTAAACATGTTTAGTGAGATCTCAACCCTCCCCCTATACCACTAGCAAATGTAGAAAAAACAAACACACAGCAATATGCACAATAAAACTCAGTTTAAAAGAAGTCTGAATCCGATGTCAGAATAGGTAACAAAAGAAACTAAGCAAAATTACAATGATAAATAAATTAACAAAGGACTACTAGCAGTTACTGACATGCCAGTTCCGGACCTCAATTAAACTGATTGAAAGATTGTGTCTTCATTATATGAAAATCAAGCACAATCCCTCCCGTTAGGGGTTTAGTATCATACCATCATAAAATATATGAAAAGAACATAACCCGTACCATGCCAACAATTGGTTTTAGAACAAATGTGCTTATTGCCGATGCATTATGACGCTACGAGTGAATCAATATAAATACCAATATATGCAATCTTTAATTACCTGACAACAGTATCGTAACTATATTTCTTCCGAATAAGTCTGTTTAAAGGTTTGGTTAGCTTTTGAGGTGAATGCCCACATTTTTGTGCTTTCTACAGACAATTACCATAAAAGAATGGATGTGAAACACCTGAACGTATAAGATGTCTGTATATTGATTTATATTTATGAAACATGTCATTTTACCGATGATAAAATTGAGTAAATGTTTTGACTAGTTTGTGATATCGAAAACTCTGGTGTAACAATTTTTCAGTAATACAGAGATTTCTTTTGTTAAAATCAAATACGTTGTTACATACAATAGCGAATCGAACTAGGTGAGCATGGTCAAGAACAAGGAGAGTGTAAAAGTGCAACCATAGATTTTGAAAATAATATTAAACAAAAAATTTCTAAGTTTGAAAACAACATAACTATTAATCCAGAAACAGTTAAAAACCAATAACTAGTGGTGAAATTAAAGGGGTTCTCAAAAAGCTATAATAACTAGCGGTAAAATTAAAGTGGTTCTGATGGCATTGTTAATGAAATATTAAAGTATAGCAGTAATTTTACAATAATTGCATTAACTAAACTGTTTAATTCAATTTTAAAAACTGGCTATTAACCAGAGCAGTGGAACAAATCATATTTAATCTTGTTACAAAAGTCTGGTAATAAACTTGACCCATCAAATTACAGAGGGATTTCATTAATAAATTGTATGGCAAAGATTTTCAGTGGCATCTTAAACAACAGGTTGAACTTGTTGATGAGAGATACGTACTCTTATTCACAATTTGGATTCTGTGAAAACCAGAGAACATCTGATAGTTTATTTATATTTAAAACCTTAATAAATAATTATCTTCATAAAAATCAAAGACATTATATGTATGCTTTGTGGATTTCCAAAAAGCTTTCAACTCAGTGTGGAGAGATGGTTTGCTCTACAAGTTAGCTAATATCGGTGTAGGAATATAATCATTTAATGCTATTATAACTTTGCTTTATAAAACAAAACAGCTCTAAAGATTAACCATAAACACTCAGAATATTTCAAAATACTAAGAGGGGTAAAACAAGGGGATTCCATAAGCCCCACCCTATTTAATATCTTTCTTAATGACCCAAGTCCAAGCTTTAACACTCAAGAATGCAGACCCGCAAAATTATTAAACTCTAATATTGGCTCACTATCATTTGCAGATGACCTTTGTTTTATGTCTGAAAGTAAGGGTGGCCTACACAATAGTCTTGATAAAATTAACAATTTTTGTGATGATTGGCAACTAACCTTAAATATTAAAAAGAAAAAAACTATGGTTATCCAACAACACACAAGTATAGTTTCCCTTTTTATAGAATTTAAAGGTAACATAATACAGATTGTAACTGAATATATATGTTTAGGTTGCCTATTTAAGTGTAATGGTAACCTCAAACATAGTCTAGAAGAGCTGGCAAAAAAGGCCAGGAAATGTTATTTTCCCTTAGAGCAAAGACAGCTTCTGTGGACACTTTACCTGTTTCGGTGTCAAAAAATCTCTTTGATAAATTGGTCAAACCTATTTTGACTTACAACTCTGAAATATCCTTTATGGATTATTTTCTTGTGTACCATAAGGCAAAGCATAGAACTGCCCAAAGAAATTGTGACATTGATCATCTTATAAACTTTATTGATAAAACACCTTTTGAAATAATCCATCTTACATTTTGTAAATACCTTCTTTTAACCAAGAAGACCTTATCAAATATAGGAGTGAGATTGGAACTAGGTAGAATTCCAGTTGAAAATTTTAATACAATCCAGTCTATTTTATATCTTGCTGGACTAATTATTGATAAATTAAACTAACTGTTGCAGTAGTATATTAAGGCAAATATGTTCAAAGGGGCGTAACTCCTAGAAAAACAAGAATGTGTCCATAGGACACGGATGCCCCATCCGCACTATCATTTTCTATGTTCAGTGGACCGTGAAAATGGGGTAAAAACTCTATTTTGGCATTAAAATTAGAAAAGATCATATCATAGGGAACATGTGTACTTAGTTTCAAGTTGATTGGACTGCAGCTTCATAAAAAACTACCTCGACCAAAAACATTAACCTGAAGCGGGACAGAGGGACAAACGAACAGACGGACGGACGGACGAACCAATGGACGAATGGACGCACAAACCAGATAACATAATGCCCATAAATGGGGCATAAAAATTTAATCAAAATTTCCTGTGGATATGCACATCTACATTGTATGTCCTTATTATCTAAAAAGTTTCATGAAATTCTGTTGTGTGTTTTCAGAGGAGTTGCGATGACAAACTGTTGCAGTAGTATATTGAGGCAAATAAGTTCAAAGGGGCGTAACTCCTAGAAAAAAAATTGAATCATAATTTCCTGTCGATATACACATCTACATAGTATGTTCTTATTATCTAGTTGCGATGACAAGAACAGGTGAGGACTGACGGACAGACCAGTCAAAAGTTGCGGAGGTTATAATTAATCATAGTATATAAGTACAAAATGGATATTTATCCTTGAACTGTAAAACCTTCAAGACTTTCAGTTTACATTTTTGAGAGGATAAGCTTAAGAAGATCTAGCAAAAACATTACTGAAGTTAGAGATGAGTTGATACGATCAGATAATGTTCAAGTTTCTAGAAAGGGTTTAAATGCATTTCAAAGATTTTGTTTGGAGATGACTATTTGAAATAAGAGATGGAGGCAGGGGATTTAGTAAATCAATAATCTGACCTTGCAATTTACCCACCAAAATACAGGACATTTATGTGTTCATAAGGGAAAATAAGTTTTTTGGCGACAAAAAAAATAAAACAATCAAGATTTTAGAATCACAAAATAGAAAATGAATATTCAATAATAAAAAAATCATCCTTCCAATCAATCAATGTATAAATTAGTAAGGAGGGGGTGAAATTACAGGTAATTTTTTGTGGCCCTTTATAGCTTGTTGTTCGGTGTGAGCCAAGGCTCTGTGTTGAAGACCATACCTTGACCTATAATGGTTTACTTTTATAAATTGTGACTTGGATGGAGAGTTGTCTCATTGGCACTCATACCACATCTTCCTATATCTATAAAACAAAACTGAGGCGTGAATTTTAAGATAAAGTAGTGATTTGGTCCAGTTGAAACGGTAGTGAATGAGTATATATATGAAGCTATCAAACTGAATTTAAGACCCGCTTAGTATTAAATTGTCTAATTTTGAGTTAGAGCTGGTAGATTTTTCTATAATTTTGATATAAATTAACCCAAAAGTAGTACATTACACTGTAAACATTTTATTGAGAAAACACATGTGGGGTTGTTTTAATTTGCATTTATTGTTCTAAAGAAATGTACAACGCAATAACAGTGTTTTCAGACCAAAAGTTGTTTTTAAACTGAACTCTTATGTTTTATCATATACTAGAATTTATGAACAGACAAGTAGGACTTTTGTCGTAGGTGGTTTCTTACAGCTATTATGTCAATGTGTCATTTATACAATGGCTACCTTTTTCTTGGGGAAATATTTCTAGCAAAGCAGAATATTGCTTTACTATAGCATTATATAGAAGACCATATATTTGATGGTACTTGCTATGTCATGTATTTCATCTATTGGAAAGCTGCTAACGCTATAGGTCCATAGTTTGTTATTATCTATTATAGTTATTAATCTTATTTCTAATGTTTTGATTGGTCCAACTGTATGATATTTTGGAGCATCAGAGATTTCCACCCACCAAGGCAGTTTGTGTGAAAAAGTAGTTTTAGCAAAAAATATATATCTGACATTTTGGAAGCCCAGTGACGATATGTGTAATAATGATATAAAGTTACAAAAATTACCTTTTATCCCTTGTCCAGCCGTCACACCTGAAGATTTCTCTGACATGACAGTCTAAAAAATGAGAAATAAGCACTATGAATAAATCTTTACTCGTGTCGACACTCGTAGAACTATTAAATTTCTAAAATATTCGCTTACCCAGTATTTTTGCCCCCAAAAAATTATACAATGAAACAAGAATATTTGTGTTTAATGGAAACTGTGTGCCAAAAACTGTCTTGCTGATCATTTTGGCTTGAACAAGTTTTGTAGTTTTCTTAATTTGTAAATTGTTAACTTGTAACTATGAAATTTCAAAATTCTTAATTCGTAAATTGTCAATTTGTAACTTGTCTCTATGTAACTTCAAAATTCTTCATTTGTAAATAGTCAATTTGTAACTTGTGTAACTGTGTGATTTCAAAATTCTTTATTGGTAAATTGTCAATTTGTATATTAATGTTTTGTAACTTGTAACATGTCGATTTGTTAAATGTCATCGTTGTATTATCCTAACTATCATTATGAGGACAGATGGCGCTCGGTTTCTTCTTCGGTGTATAAGCAAGAATGCAAGAAAACTGTATACTGTCAACCAACTAATCTTAGCGAGCGATTTATTTTCGCGACTTTGGCGAGTAGAAAAATAACGTGAATATAAATTGTCGCTAATGGTACACTGGTCAGGTCAATAATAGAGTATGAAGCAATAGTAAGGGACTTTTACACATCTACGAACATCAACAAGCATGAAAGAATACAGCGACAAGCTGCGAGATTTATAACAGGAGACTACAAATCCAGAGAAGATGGTTGTGTCTCAAACACGCTCGCCAAACTGGCACTACAAGACATACGGACAAGACGCTGAAGCCAGAAGCTAATTTTTCTGTACGATGTGGTTGAAGAGCTGGGCCTGTAAGCATAAAACCACTTAAGGTAAGAAATCCAATCGTAGTACTAATTTATCGTTGGACATGTAGAAAAATCTGTCCGTTCGGAACAAATATTAACTTAAGTAGCTTTATGCATACGGGCCCTGGTTCCTGCTATATAACCAGACAAATTTAAAAAAAAAGCTTGTCCAAAAAGAACAATTGCTGCCAAGGGATTTGACAAATATCAGTCAATAAATATTGTGGAAAAACAAGTCAAGAACTACACAAAGTGTTTTGAGATTTCAACGAGCAAAAATACCACAATATTTTAACTAATTTTTCGTAAAAACAGTAATCGAGTGGAACCACCTTGAAGACACTATAGTGCGCACAACAAGCGTTGACAGCTTCAGAAACTGCTCTCGTTTGCTACCATTGTATTAAAGACAGTATTGGTATCCACAACGTATTCCTACAGATACAGATTCAAGTCTAGAATGATCATGGTACTGGATAGACATATACTAGGAGGTGTCCCCTCTGGATATTTTGTCTATGACAATGATCGTAAAACTATGAAACTGTTTCTTTTTTATTATACACATGTACACCTATACCCACTTTTAACCAAAGTGACACCCTACCCCTTTGACTTGTCAGAGAGAAGATCACGCCATCTCCCCATTTGCAAGACAGAAGCAATTATCTCCAATCTGCTTACCCTAATTTTATTTCTCCATGAAAATCTTTGCACATGATTTGGGGTTTGGCCAGGGGGTCTGTCAGGGATCATTTTGTAGAGTAACACTGAGGGGGGGGGGGGGGGGGTAGCCTGGGATCCTGGCTCACTGCTCGACAGAAGAGGGGGGGGGGGGGCGTTTAGCAGCAGTTGAGAGAATCGGGAATATTTTAGTCTTTTTGTTTTGTAAATTTTTATAGAACGAATAATCTGGTAACGGCAATTCTTAGAGCTAATTTCCTAATGCAAGTAGAGTAAGACTTTAGTTAGCTGGCTTGCTTTGTTTGTATATTGTACAATTGTAATTGGGATGACATTATATCAAATTTTAATATAATATATACAGATTTATCGGTGTGAGCCAAGGCTCCGTGTGGAAGACCGTACCTTGACCTATAATGGATTACTTTTATAATTGTGACTTGGATGGAGAGTTGTCTCATGGGAACTCATACCACATCTTCCTATATATATTATCTAAGCCTGTCTATATTGTTTGCAGATGTAAATCTTAATAACAATGCCTGAGCCAATGTTTATACAAACAAAGCAAGCCAACCAAAGTCTTACTCTACAAGCATTAGGAAATTAGCTCTCTTAAGCTTCTTGACCAGAAAAGTTAGATAGAGAATATCATATGGCTTTTTCAATATTACATCCGTATCAACCCGAGACACCAATATAATCCCAAGTGCTCTGCTCGAGGGATTATATTGGTTGAGGGTTGATACGGTATGTGATATTGAAAAAGCCATATCATATACACTTTATTATATACCTCACGTAGATGTTTTTTTAATGTGACATGACGTCATACAGATTATAGGTTTGACATGACTTCATACAGATTAGGGGTTTGATAAAGTCTTTGCAACAGTGGCTGCAATCGATGACGTGACGTCATAGAGATTAAAAGTGTGATATAGCCTTGCAACCGTGCTGATATCGATATCATCACGGGTGGCTGATACAGAAGGCTTGCCAATGATCGTATTACACATACAATTTATCTGTATTTATACTACTAAGTATATAATAAATATATATATTACATATGGTGTAGCATTTTACTGTTTTCATTGGATATGACGATCACGTGTTTCATAAGTTATTATACGTATCTGAAGCCTTGTTTCTATTTTTACATATATTGACGCTATATTTCTATTTATATGTATATTGGTGGTCAATATAAAAAATCTGTTGCTAAATTTAGATTTATGACGTCATGTTGTCACACATAACAACTGAACCATGAAGGATGCACCGCAGCAGACAAAAAGAAATTTGCAAGTTTATCAGAAGGAGATATCAAGAATTGTATGTTAAATGCAGACGCTGAGAATACAAGAAAGCTTACGCAACAAGCTATAAAGTTGTTCAAAGAATATTTATATTTTCAATAACATGTTAAATTTTTTGCAAAATACAATTTAAGAATACACAGAAAGAACATTAAGTGCCATTTTCCAAATACATTATTTACATATGTAATATAAAAATTAAGGACTTTCACTCAGTCAATACGTTATATATGGACCTGTTTTATTATATTGACACTCGGACTTCGTCCTTGGTCAATATAATCTGAACAGGTCCATATATAACGTATTGACCTCGTTAAAAGTCCATAATTGATAAATATTTGTCAGCCCATCCTTTGCCTATAATTGCTTACATCCGACTTTATTTGACCTTTGATGGATACTGTAGTTGTCTCATTGGCAATCATACGGTTTATTATCACATCTCCTTATATATATTTACCCGAATAATTCAGTCGTTATATTCCGCTGATCTACCAATACTTCATTAATCTCGCAAGTAGGAGAGATCGATTACGTGGAGGGACTGAACTATTCAGGTTGTATTTTTATATAGTTTCCGTTCTTGAATAAAATGCCACCTGTCGTCTTCAGAAAACAAAATAAAACCTTCCTGTATACATGCCATAAAAAAAAAAATTCTATTTTTCTATTTGTTTTCTTTTAGATGCATTTGCTGTACATAATTGATTTTAAATTACTTAGGTATATACTCCATATGGAGGTGCTCCTACTTACAGGAGGCTTATACACCGAAGAAGAAATCGAGCACCATCTTTCGTCATAATGATCGTTAGCATAATACAACGATGACATTTAACAAATCAACATTTAACGAATTGACATGTTACAAGTTACAAAACATCAATATACAAATTGACAATTTACCAGTAAAAAATTTTGAAATCACACAGTTACAAGCTTAAGTTACAAATTGACAATTTACAAATTAAGAATTTTGAAATTACAAAGATACAAGTTACAAATTGACAATTTACAAATTAAGAATTTTGAAATTACAAAGATACAAGTTACAAATTGACAATTTACAAATTAAGAATTTTGAAATTACAAAGTTACAAATTACAAATTTACAAATTAAGAAATTTTGACCCAGTTGGCTTTCCATACTAATGAACCTTGACAGTTTTGCCAAAACTAAATTGGATTAATTACTTGATTGATTGACTGTTGTTAACACAACTTATAGCACTATTGGCTACATAATTGCGGTCAGTTTTTGTTGGCGGAGGAAGCCTGAGGAGCCTGAGGAGCCTTAGGTAACCATGGACCTTCAGCAGGTCAATTAAGATTGGAGTCAAACACTCCTCATAAACTCACTGTTGGAAGCAATGTACCAAGATTATTTGGTAAAAATAGGAGGTAGGTACACGTAGATCTTGACAATCAGAGCTTTTTTGTTACTGACAGATTTTTTTTTCAATCTGTTGTACGTGGTTTTCAAGATATAAGACAATGATTGATTGATTGTTGGTTCTTTAACATCCAGTAGCAAGACAAATACAATTAATGCATTTTACCCTCATGTTCTATTTCTATATCTATGGCAGCCATGTTTTGAATTTTAAGGCTATCATTCCTTTATAAGTCATCCAGTTGTTAAATATAAGGTTGTATCAGCAGTTTAATAGATCTTGCATTGCTGGTTGTTGACAGTTTTACTTCTCTATCATAGTTTCACGGAAATGGGCAAAAACATTAAAATTAGTAAAAAATTGTCATTTAAGGTCAATAAAGACAATAACTGCTAACATGGCTAAGGTCCATTGTTTTTGGTCATATTGACATTTTTAGATCATGTATTACTGATCTGTTTTGCTTTAAACAGTTTTTACATATCTCATAAAGTTTTTGAGATAAGAGACAAAAAAAAACAAAAAAACAAGTACTCGGAGACTATTGCATTGCAATACACAGTTCCCCACATGTTGAAAATTCATTTTATTGGAACAAAATTCTAATTTGATCTATTAATTGTCATGTTGTAAACTATATAACACATATTACACCAATATCCTCAACCATGATGGAATAACGTGTGGTAAACTGAGTATTTGCGTGAAGTCCAAGAACAATAACTCTGCAAAATGATTATCAGAACCGAAATAAAATTTGATCTTGAACTATAACTTGTCATGTTAACACTATATACCAAATATCAAATCAATATCTTCAAGCATAATTGAAAAATTGATTATTTGCATGAATTTTTCAAGTCCAAGGACGAAAACTCTGCACAAAATCATCAGTCCGGAACAAAATCTGAACTTGATCTGTAACTTGTCATGGTCAAACTATATACCAAATATCAAATCATAATCTTAAAGCATGAAAAAAAAAAATGTGTGGAAAACTGATTACTTGCCTGAATTTTCTAAGTCAAAGGAGGATAACTCTTCAAAAAATCATCAGACCGGAACAAAATCTGAACTTGATAGATCTGTAATTTGTCATGGTAAAACTATATACCAAATATCAAATCAAAATCTTAAATATAAAAAAGAAGATGTGGTATGATTGCCAATGAGACATCTGTCAACGTATATTTGTTCCGCCTAACAGATGTTCCACTAGAAACTTTGTTATAAACAATGTCACAATATCTGTTCCTGTTGGAACAAATATTCTATATCATTTATTCCGTGAGGAACATATACTGTAATATTTATTCCAGTGGAAATAATATTCCAAAATACTTTTTCCATTTGAATGTTATGAAGGAACTTCTATTTCGAGACAGAGACAATTCTTCACAAGAGACCAAATGACACAGAAATTAACAACTGTAGGTCACCTTACAGCCTTCAACAATGAGCAAAGCTATCAAAGGCCCTAAATGACAAATGTAAAACAATTCAAACGAAAAAACAAAAGGCCTAATTTATGTACAAAAAAATGAACGCAAAACAAATAGGTAACACAGCAACAAATGACAACCACTGAATTACAGGCTCCTGACTTGGGACAGCAACACGAAAAAAATGTGTGGAAAACCAATTGCTTGAGTGAATTAGGAAGTCCTGCAACTTGAAGAACTCAAACTCACAACCTGAATGTTAAAACGCTAGTGATACAGAACTGAGAAGTTAACTAGGTAAAAGGATATTTGCTAAAGTAGGACAAAGTTTTATGTAGGCCAAGCATAAAATACAATACAGTTATCTCATACTATATAAAATTTTCCAAAAAAAGTTAATTTTCGACATACTGTCGGTGTAAGAATATCATAAATCGAATTTAAAAAACCTGCTCTCGCCTCGTTCACTATAGAATGAAATAGAAGACATCTGCTAATTTTGTTGATTATTGAAGAAAACACATAACAATAAATTAGTGAATTGAAAAATGACGGCTTAGCTAGTTAAAGTCCCTTAAAGCATGGCATTTAACACCTCAAATAGATGATGTTGTCCAATCAAAACCATGTTAACAAATAATTGCATTACAATTTGAAACTTTTTTTCAAGACTTAAAGAATGTTTAATTGTTTAAAGATTTTTCTCCTGAAGTGTCTTGGCTTTGCAGCATTTGTTTTCTTAGTTTTATATTTCTTTATATTTTGTAACTTCTTTTCTACTTGAAGCATGTGTAATTCAACACTATATGTACCTGTAAGTACTCCATCACTTCTTTATACTGCCCTCTCTTCCATTCTGCTGCTAGATCGTATGGAGTCTGTCCCTAAAATACAGATACATCTTTATATTACTTTCATCTGTTAACAAGAAATGATTGTAACAGGATGCTGTTACGAAGTCTCCCAAACGAAGCTCCCATAATTAGTAATTCCCAGGGTCGCCTGTCATTGGGAAAAGTCCAGTGAAAATTGGTTTGGTCCAGTAAAGTTATATGCATTAGTGATGCCTGGGGACTAACCCTGTATATCATTCAAATCATCTTGGCATGACAAACCAGAATATATATGGTTTAGGGGTGGGGATCTCAACCATTTACAAGATATTAGAACTTTCTCAAATGGCAGGGGGTCGGGATGACCCCTGGGGACTAACCCTGTATATCATTCAAACCATCTTAGCATGACAAACCAGAATATATATGGTTTAGGGGTGGTGATCTTGACCACTTACAAGATATTAGAACTTTCTTAAATGGCAGGGGGTGGGGGTGACCCCTGGGGACTAACCCTGTATTTCATTTGATGTGCTTTATCATGACAAACCAGAATATATATGGTTTAGGGGTGGGGATCTCGACCATTTACAAGATATTAAAACTTTCTCAAATGGCAGGGGGTCGGGATGACCCCTGGGGACTAACCCTGTATATCATTCAAACAATCTTAGCATGACAAACCAGAATATATATGGTTTAAAGGTGGGGATCTCGACCATTTACAAGATATAAGAACTTTCTTAAATGGCATGGGGTGGGGTTGACCCCTGGGGACTAACCCTGTATTACATTTGATGTGCTTTATCATGAAAAACCAGAATATATATGGTTTAGGGGTGGGGATCTCGACCATTTACAAGATATTAGAACTTTCTCAAATGGCAGGGGTCGGGATGACCCCTGGGGACTAACCCTGTATATCATCCAAACCATCTTAGCATGACAAACCAGAATATATACGATTTAGGGGTGGGGATCTTGACCACTTACAAGATATTAGATCTTTCTTAAATGGCATGGGGTGGAGGTGACCCCTGGGGACTAATCCTGTATTACATTTGATGTGCTTTATCATGACAAACCAGAATATATATGGTTTTGGGGTGGGGATCTCAACCATTTACAAGATATTAGAACTTTCTCAAATGGCAGGGGGTCGGGATGACCCCTGGGGACTAACCCTGTTTATCATTCAAACCATCTTAGCATGACAAACCAGAATATATACGATTTAGGGGTGGGGATCTTGACCACTTACAAGATATTAGATCTTTTTTAAATGGCATGGGGTGGGGGTGACCCCTGGGGACTAACCCTGTATAACATTTGATGTGCTTTATCATGACAAACCAGAATATATATGGTTTAGGGGTGGGGATCTCAACCATTTACAAGATATTAGAACTTTCTCAAATGGCAGGGGGTCGGGAATACCCCTGGGGACTAACCCTGTATATCATTCAAACCATCTTAGCATGACAAACCAAAATATATATGGTTTAGGGGTGTGGATCTCGACCACTTACAAGATATTAGAACTTTTTTAAATGGCATGGGGTGGGGGTGACCCATGGGGACTAACCCAGTATTTCATTTGATGTGCTTTATCATGACAAACCAGAATATATATGGTTTAGGGATGGGGATCTCGACAATTTACAAGATATTAGAACTTTCTCAAATGGCAGGGGGTCGGGAAGTCCCCTGGGGACTAACCCTGTGTATCATTCAAACCATCTTAGCATGACAAACCAGAATATATACGATTTAGGGGTGGGGATCTTGACCACTTACAAGATATTAGATCTTTCTTAAATGGCATGGAGTGGGGGTGACCCCTGGGGACTAACCCTGTATTACATTTGATGTGCTTTATCATGACAAACCAGAATATATATGGTTTAGGGGTGGGGATCTCAACCATTTACAAGATATTAGAACTTTCTCAAATGGCAGGGGGTCGGGATGACCCCTAGGGACTAACCCTGTATATCATTCAAACCATCTTAGCATGACAAACCAGAATATATACGATTTAGGGGTGGGGATCTTGACCACTTACAAAATATTAGATCTTCCTTAAATGGCATGGGGTGGGGGTGACCCCTGGAGACTAACCCTGTATAACATTTGATGTGCTTTATCATGACAAACCATGGCCAGAATATATATGGTTTAGGGGTGGGGATCTCGGCCATTTACAAGATATTAGAACTTTCTCAAATGGCAGGGGGTCGGGAATACCCCTGGGGACTAACCCTGTGTATCATTCAAACCATCTTAGCATGACAAACCAGAATATATACGATTTAGGGGTGGGGATCTTGACCACTTACAAGATATTAGATCTTTCTTAAATGGCATGGAGTGGGGGTGACCCCTGGGGACTAACCCTGTATTACATTTGATGTGCTTTATCATGACAAACCAGAACATATATGGTTTAGGGGTGGGGATCTCAACCATTTACAAGATATTAGAACTTTCTCAAATGGCAGGGGGTCTGGATGACCCCTGGGGACTAACCCTGTATATCATTCAAACCATCTTAGCATGACAAACCAGAATATATACGATTTAGGGGTGGGGATCTTGACCATTTACAAGATATTAGATCTTTCTTAAATGGCATGGGGTGGGGGTGACCCCTGGGGACTAACCCTGTATAACATTTGATGTGCTTTATCATGACAAACCAGAATATATATGGTTTAGGGTTGGGGATCTCGGCCATTTACAAGATATTAGAACTTTTTCAAATGGCAGGGGGTCGGGAATACCCCTGGGGACTAACCCTGTATATCATTCAAACCATCTTAGCATGACAAACCAAAATATATATGGTTTAGGGGTTGGGATCTTGACCACTTACAAGGTATTAGAACTTTTTTAAATGGCAGGGGGTGGGGGTGACCCCTGGGGACTAACCCTGTTTTTCATTAAATGGGCTTTATCATTCAGAACATTTTCAATTAAAAAGATTGTGTCTATCACAAACGGTTTTCAATTTATACTCATTTGAAAATTTGTAAAAATAAAATCCCATAGGGTTCTATAGTAAAACCCTCTTTTCTTTTTGCCCCTCAAAGTACCCCTTTATAAACCCCATTGCACAAACAAAACCCTGATTGCACCACTAGACATGTTAGTCTAACATATTGTGAAACCCTAAGTTAATCTGACAAGCGGTTTTGGAGAACGGGTGCGGACAAGTTCAAATTTAAAAGCGGCGGAAGAAGAAGAAGAAGAAGAAGAATAACTGAGCAAAAACAATAAGTCTTCCCAGAAGTTTGGGAGACTTAATTACAAAGAAGACTTTTGTAAAACATATCTTACAATTAGTATAAGTAGCAGCTGAGTGATGTTTTATTTTATTTTTACAGATGCTAACCATATTATTTTCGTTCAGTAAATATATCTCTTGAGACAACATTCAAATTATTTTTCACAATTTTCTGAAGACTTGAAAAAGGCTTTTAACTCTTTTTTTTTAAAGGCATATGAATAAATGCTCCATCTGTCCCCATTTGGTCTTCTTAATTTTCTTAGCAGTTTGAAGAATGATAAATGCATCCTTATATCTACATAAGGGGTGTGGGATTTTGGGGGTCTTCATCTTTAACTATCTTTTTACATTTTTTGGACACATTATGGACAGTTCTTTATATTCTTATATTATTTTCTATTCATTAATTGTTTGCCTATATCTCTATAACCCTCCACACCCTCCTATATCTATATATACCCATCCACACCCTCCTATATTAGTGTACCAATCCACAACCTCCGATATCTGTATACCCAATCCACATCCTCCTCTACCTGTTTACCCCATCCACAATCTCCTCTACCTGTATACCCCATCCACACCCTCCTCTATCTGTATACCCCATCCACACTCTCTAACATTTGTATACTCCATCCACACCCTCCTATATCTGTTTACCCCATCCACACCCTCTTACATCTGTATCCCCCATCCACACCCTCCTATGTCTGTATACCCTATCCAAATTCTATATTTGTATAGCCCATCCACTGTTGAGATTGTCGCTGGAACATATCATCCGTACTATTGTACTTGTCCATTTTCGAAGTCATGTTGTCAGTGACGTCGCCGTTGGTGGAAATACATTTGTTGTATATAAATATAATGGCTAAACAGTTGTCTTTACATACATTGCCTTAATTATCATCTATATACACACCCTCCTATATCTGTATACCCCCTCCAAACCCTCCTACGTCTGTATACCCCCCTCCTATGTCTGTATACCCCGTACATACCCTCCTATATCTGTATACCCAATCCACACCATCCTATATCTGTATACCCCATCCTTACCCTCCTATATCTGTATACCGTAGAAAGGCTTGTATAGTTCGCACTGGTACATAGTCCGCACCCACTTCTCCGGTAATTTCAAATCCTGTGCAGTCGTTTGCGGTATTTTCTTGGAAAAACCTGTTTTCCTTCATCAAACAGAAGCTGAAACTGCTTGTAAATGATTCTAGAACGCTTCATGATTGTTAAAATAAGTTTAATTCACTTAAAAAACAATTTAGAAACTTGTGTATGTTTAAACAGGAAGTTTAAAAAGCACATGAAAAAGAAGAAATTAACTGGTGAGAGTCGAAATCCGTACATAACAGATATCACTATAATACGACTTTGAAAGTAAAACAGTTCCATCCTTTTGTAAAAAAGTCTTTAATATATCTATCACATTAATGTTTGAAGGGTCTTAAGCGAATACAAACCATATTAGTCAGTATGAAACACCAAAACGGAACGAACAATAACCGATTATGTTTTGTAGTTTACAAATTCTAAGCTGGTTTACGGTTGTCTTTTTCACTATGTTTGTATCGTTTCAATCAAGCAGATACCAGTTTATTTCAACCAATGCATTGAAAAGAAACGAGAAATTTGTAATGAAAGGTTTAGTTTTTATATTTATCAGATATTGAATAGAAATAATTTATTAATATGGGTGAGTTAAAATTATTAGTTTGAAAAATGATAAAAGCGCCCTCTACAATATAAATACAAAGATGGCGGAACGTAAACAAACCACCTCGCCCGCGAAATTGAAATTTTTCTCTTATTTCTTGCTTATTGTACTCTATAGTCCGCACCCCGTCAGGAAGGTCCAATTTTTGAGAATAAAACCGCTGACTATACAAGCCTTTCTACGGTACCCCATCCACACCCTTCTATATCTGTATACCCAATCCACACCATCCTATATCTGTATACCCAATCCACACACTCCTATATCTGTAAACCTAATCCACACCCTCCTATATCTGTATAACCCGTCCAAACCCTCCTATATCTCTATACCCAATCCACCTCCTCCTATATCTGTATACCCCATCCACATCCACCTATATCTGTATACCCCATCCACACCATCCAATATCTGTATACCCCGTCCATACCCTCCTATATCTGTATACCCCATCCACACCCTCCTATATCTGTATACCCAATCCACACCATCCAATATCTGTATACCCCATCCAAATCCTCCTATATCTGCATACCCCATCCACACCCTCCTATATCTGTATACCCGTCCACACCCTTCCTATATCAGAATAACCCATCCACACTCTCCTATGTATACTCCATCCACACCCTCCTATATCTGTATACCCCATCCTTACCCTCCTATATCAGTATATTCCATCCACACCCTCCTATAACTGTATATCCCATCCACACCCTCCTATATCTGTATACCCCCATCCTTACCCTCCTATATCTGTATACCCCATCCTTACCCTCCTATATCAGTATAACCAATCCAAACCCTCCTATATCTGTATACCCCATCCTTACCCTCCTATATCAGTATATTCCATCCACACCCTCCTATATCTGTATATCCCATCCACACCCTCCTATATCTGTATACCCCCATCCTTACCCTCCTATATCTGTATACCCCATCCTTACCCTCCTATATCAGTATAACCAATCCAAACCCTCCTATATCTGTATACCCCATCCACACCCTCCTTTATCTGTATACCCCATCCTTACCCTCCTATATCAGTATACCCCATCCTTACCCTCCTATATCTGTATCCCTCATCCCCACCCTCCTATATCTGTATACCCCATCCTTACCCTCCTATATCTGTATAACCAATCCAAACCCTCCTATATCTGTATACCCCATCCACATCCTCCTATATCTGTATACCCCATCCTTACCCTCCTATATCAATATAACCAATCCAAACCCTCCTATATCTGTATACCCCATCCACACCCTTCTTTATCTGTATACCCCATCCTTACCCTCCTATATCAGTATACCCCATCCTTACCCTCCTATATCTGTATCCCTCATCCCACCCTCCTATATCGGTATTCCCCATCCTTACCCTCCTATATCTGTATAACCAATCCAAACCCTCCTATATCTGTATACCCCATCCACACCCTCCTATATCTGTATACCCCATCCTTACCCTCCTATATCTGTATACCCCATCCTTACCCTCCTATATCTGTATACCCCATCCTTACCCTCCTATATCTGTATACCCCATCCACACCCACCTATATCTGTATACCTCATCCTTACCCTCCTATATCTGTATACCCCATCCTTACCCTCCTATATCTGTATAACCAATCCAAACCCTCCTATACCTGTATAGCCCATCTACACCCTCCTTTATCTGTATAACCCATCCACACCCTCCTATATCTGTATATTGTTATTTTACAGCATTTTATAGTTTTTAGTGTTATCACTGGTGTTATTGTTTAAATAAGCAAATAAATAAATTTTGACAAAGATGTTAGGTATCTCTGCCACTTGACATCTTGAATACAGGAATTGGAAAAAAAAATATAGTCTTTATAGGATCATCTCTTTCAAATTATTTTCTAAGTGCCAACACAATATAAAACTAATAAAACAATTTTTATTTCCTCCTTATTGAACATAAAAATATTGTCTAGTAATTTGTCTTTGTTATAATTGTCATGACAACGGATTGGTGTAAGTTTTGTTTGACAATTTGTTTGTTTACACTGATTTTAATTACAGCAAGTATAATAGTCTATGTTCATGTGTTTTATAGTAAAATTAAGCCATTCAAGTCTTTTTAACTTTTTCATATTTTAAGTCCAATTTAAAGGATCATATGACTTTTAACTATAGCCTTGAAAAAAAAGCAATTTGACCAAACATATCTTATACATCATTTTAGTGATTCATTACTTAATACTTGAACACTGGGTATATACTATAAAATATTACCCGACGTGTTGTAACCAAGGGACTGGCACCTCCTTGTTCTACCAGACATCTTGTGGTCTGTAGATATCCCCTCTGAGCACCCCAATGTAAAGCTGTGTATCCATTGATCTATAATATAACCAAATAACATGTAAATATTATGGACAATACTTTGTTATCAATATCAATAATATACAACATATCCTACAACTGACATTAAAACTGGTCTGATAAACTGGACAATGTTGTGTAATAAATATAAACAAAATATATATCACATGAATCAGTGGTCAAAACTCAACAAAATGACCAGTCACACTTGTATTTATATTCTATATAACAATAAATAAACATGTTTTGTTGTGAAATGTCAAAACTTCCATTAAACCTGATATCTTAAAAAAAAAAAATTTTCAAGAAATGTGTAAAATAATTATATCAATGGATTCAGTAGAACAAAACAAGCAAAATGAGACCCCACTTTATATGATTCTTACAAATATTTGTTCATTAAAACTGTCTAATTAACATCAGGATTTAGTGTAGATTCAGTATAATCATTCATTTTAATAAAATAATTTTTTTAAAGAAACATGAAAAGGAGTAATATTTTCTGATTCAGAACAATAATATGAGTAAAATGAGACCCCACTTGATATAATTATTACAAATATTTCTTCATTAAACCTGTCTGATTAACAACATGATTTTGTGTTGATTAATAGTAATGTGATCAGACTAAGTAGATAACATACATCTGTGGTGTCGATCTTACATCCTGTATCAATGAGAAGTCTACAGATCTCCAGGTGTCCTCTACTGGCAGCCATCATTAATGCTGTCCATCCACCAACCTGGAATAATACAACTGACATCAAAACTTGTCTGATAAACTGGACACTGTTGTGTAATAAATATAAACAAAATATATATCACATGAATCAGTGGTCAAAACTCAACAAAATGACCAGTCACACTTGTATTTATATTCTATATAAACAATAAATAAACATGTTTTGCTGTGAAATGTCAAAACTTCCATTAAACCTGATATCTTAAAAAAAAAAAAAAATTCAAGAAATGTGTAAAATAATTATATCAATGGATTCAGTAGAACAAAACAAGCAAAATGAGACCCCACTTTATATGATTCTTACACATATTTGTTCATTAAAACTGTCTGATTAACAACATGATTTTGTGTTGATTAATAGTAATGTGATCAGACTAAGTAGATAACATACATCTGTGGTGTCGATCTTACATCCTGTATCAATGAGAAGTCTACAGACCTCCAGGTGTCCTTCCCTGGCAGCCCTCATTAATGCTGTCACTCCACCAACCTGGAATAATACAACTGACATCAAAACTTGTCTGATAAACTGGACAATGTTGTGTAATAAATATAAACAAAATATATATCACATGAATCAGTTGACAAAACTGAATAAAATGACCAGTCACACTTGTATTTATATTCTATATAAACAATAAATAAACATGTTTTGTTGTGAAATGTCAAAACTTCCATTAAACCTGATATCTTAAAAAAATTTTTGTTCAAGAAGTGTGTAAAATAATTATATCAATGGATTCAGTAGAACAAAACAAGCAAAATGAGACCCCACTTTATATGATTCTTACACATATTTGTTCATTAAAACTGTCTAATTAACATCAGGATTTAGTGTAGATTCAGTATAATCATTCATTTTAATAAAATAATTTTTTTAAAGAAATATAAAAGAAGGTTATATTTTCTGATTCAGAACAATAATATGAGTAAAATGAGACCCCACTTGATATAATTATTACAAATATTTGTTCATTAAACCTGTCTATTTAATAACATGATTTTGTGTTGATTAATAGTAATGTGATCAGACTAAGTAGATAACATACATCTGTGGTGTCGATCTTACATCTTGTATCAATGAGAAGTCTGCAGATCTCCAGGTGTCCTCCCCTGGCAGCAAACATTAATGCTGTCCGTCCAATACCCTGGAATAATACAACTGACATCAAAACTTGTCTGATAAACTGGACAATGTTGTGTAATAAATATAAACAAAATATATATCACATGAATCAGTGGTCAAAACTGAATAAAATTACCAGTCACACTTGTATTTATATTGTATAGAAACAACAAATAAACAAAATGTTTTTGTGAGATGTCAGAACTTTCATCAAAACTGTCATGTAGAAATTTTTTTTTTTTTGAAGAAATCAATAAAATATTTATATCAATGGATTCATTACAACTTTCTGAGTAAAATGACATCTGACTTTATATAATCCTAACAAGTATTTGTTGATATAATGATTAAATCTGTCTGATTAACAAATCTGTTCTGAAGTAACTTGTAGTTGTGTGTTTTATACTATTAATGTTCAAAATTAGTAACATGTAGTTTTATACTGTTTTATTGTTTTTTATTTTTAAGTAATTGTGTAGTTTTATATTGTTTTACTTTTGTTTATATTGAAGTAAATTGAAGTTTTATACTGTTTTACTGTGCTTCATTTTGAAGTAACTTGTAGTTTTATACTGTTTAATTGTTTATTTTGAAGTAACTTGTAGTTTAATATTGTTTTACTGTGCTTTATTTTGCAGTAACTTGTAGTTTTATACTGTTTTACTGTTGTATATTTTGGAGTAACTTGTAGTTTAATACTGTTTTAATGTGCTTCATTTTGAAGTAACTTGTAGTTTTATACTGTTATACTGTGCTTTATTTTGAAGTAATGTGTAGTTTTATACTGTTTCACTGTGATTTATTTAGAAGTAACTTGTAGTTTGTTATATAATGTTTTACTGTGCTTTATTTTGTAGTAGCTTGTAGTTTAATACTGTTTTACTGTGCTTTATTTTGAAGTATTAAACTTGTAGTCTTATACTATTTTACTGTGGTTTATATCTTTATTTAGAAGTAACTTGTAGTTTTCTACTGTTTCACTGTGCTTTATTTTGTAGTAGTTTGTAGTTTAATACTGTTTTACTGTGCTTTATTTTGAAGTATTAAACTTGTAGTCTTATACTATTTTACTGTGGTTTATTTCTTTTTTTAGAAGTAACTTGTAGTTTTATACTGTTTTACTGTGCTTTATTTTGAAGTATTAAACTTGTAGTCTTATACTATTTTATTGTGATTTATTTCTTTTTTTAGAAGTAACTTGTAGTTTTATACTGTTTTACTGTGCTTTATTTTGAAGTAACTTGTAGTTTTATACTGTTTCACTGTGCTTTATTTTGTAGTAGTTTGTAGTTTAATACTGTTTTACTGTGCTTTATTTTGAAGTATTAAACTTGTAGTCTTATACTATTTTACTGTGGTTTATTTCTTTATTTAGAAGTAACTTGTAGTTTTATACTGTTTTATTGTGATTTATTTCTTTTTTTAGAAGTAACTTGTAGTTTTATACTGTTTTACTGTGCTTTATTTTGATGTAACTTGTTGTTTATTACTGTTTTACTGTGCTTTATTTTGAAGTAACTTGTAGTTTTATACTGTTTTACTGTGCTTTATTTAGAAGTAACTTGTAGTTTTATACTATTATACAGTGCTTTATTTTGAAGTAACTTGTAGTTTTATACTGTTTTCCTGTGCTTTATTTTGAAGTAACTTGTAGTTTTATACTGTTTTACTGTGCTTCATTTTGAAGTAACTTGTAGTTTTATACTGTTTTACTGTGCTTTATTTAGAAGTAACTTGTAGTTTCATACTGTTATACCATGCTTCATTTTGAAGTAACGTGTAGTTTCATACTGTTATACTGTGCTTTATTTAGAAGTAACTTGTAGTTCTCTACTGTTTTACTGTGCTTTATTTTGAGGAATTAAACTTGTAGTTTTATACTATTTTACTGTGATTTATTTCTTTATTTTGAAGTAACTTGTAGTTTAATACTGTTTTACTGTGCTTTATTTTGAAGTAACTTGTAGTTTTATACTGTTTCACTGGGCTTCATTTTGAAGTAACGTTTAGTTTCATACTGTTATACTGTGTTTTATTTAGAAGTAACTTGTAGTTCTATACTGTTTTACTGTGTTTTATTTTGAAGTAACCTGTAGTTTTATACTGTTTTACTGTGCTTTATTTTGAAGTAACTTGTAGTTTCATACTGTTATACCATGCTTCATTTTGAAGTAACGTTTAGTTTCATACTGTTATACTGTGTTTTATTTAGAAGTAACTTGTAGTTCTCTACTGTTTTACTGTGCTTTATTTTGAGGAATTAAACTTGTAGTTTTATACTATTTTACTGTGATTTATTTCTTTATTTTGAAGTAACTTGTAGTTTAATACTGTTTTACTGTGCTTTATTTTGAAGTAACTTGTAGTTTTATACTGTTTCACTGGGCTTCATTTTGAAGTAACGTTTAGTTTCATACTGTTATACTGTGTTTTATTTAGAAGTAACTTGTAGTTCTATACTGTTTTACTGTGTTTTATTTTGAAGTAACCTGTAGTTTTATACTGTTTTACTGTGCTTTATTTTGAAGTAACTTGTAGTTTCATACTGTTATACCATGCTTCATTTTGAAGTAACGTTTAGTTTCATACTGTTATACTGTGTTTTATTTAGAAGTAACTTGTAGTTCTCTACTGTTTTACTGTGCTTTATTTTGAGGAATTAAACTTGTAGTTTTATACTGTTTTACTGTGTTTTATTTAGAAGTCACTTGTAGTTCTCTACTGTTTTACTGTGCTTTATTTTGAGGAATTAAACTTGTAGTTTTATACTATTTTACTGTGATTTATTTCTTTATTTTGAAGTAACTTGTAGTTCTATACTGTTTTACTGTGCTTTATTTTGAGGAATTAAACTTGTAGTTTTATACTATTTTACTGTGATTTATTTCTTTATTTTGAAGTAACTTGTAGTTTTATACTGTTTTACTGTGCTTCATTTTGAAGTAACGTTTAGTTTCATACTGTTATACTGTGTTTTATTTAGAAGTAACTTGTAGTTCTCTACTGTTTTACTGTGCTTTATTTTGAGGAATTAAACTTGTAGTTTTATACTATTTTACTGTGATTTATTTCTTTATTTTGAAGTAACTTGCAGTTTTATACTGTTTGACTGTGCTTTATTTTGAAGTAACTTGTAGTTTAATACTGTTTGACTGTGCTTTATTTTGAAGTAGCTTGTAGTTTTATACTATTTTACTGTGATTTCTTTCTTTCTTTAGAAGTAACTTGTAGTTTAATACTATTTTACTGTGATTTATTTCTTTCTTTAGAAGTAACTTGTAGTTCTATACTGTTTTACTGTGCTTCATTTTGAAGTATTAAACTTGTAGTTTTATACTGTTTTACTGTGCTTTATTTTGGAGTAACTTGTAGTTTTATACTGTTATACTGTGCTTTATTTTGAAGTAACTTGTAGTTTTATACTGTTTACCTGTGATTTATTTCTTTCTTTAGAAGTAACTTCTAGTTTTATACTATTTTACTGTGATTTATTTCTTTCTTTAGAAGTAACTTGTAGTTCTATACTGTTTTACTGTGCTTTATTTTGAAGTAACTTGTAGTTTTATACTGTTTTACTGTGCTTTATTTTGAAGTAACTTGTAGTTTTATACTGTTATACTGTGCTTTATTTTGAAGTAACTTGTAGTTTTATACTGTTATACTGTGCTTTATTTTGAACTAACTTGTAGTTTCATACTGTTATACTGTGCTTTATTTAGAAGTAACTTGTAGTTTCATATTGTTATACTGTGCTTTATTTAGAAGTAACTTGTAGTTTTATACTGTTATACTGTGCTTTATTTTGAAGTAACTTG